AGGGTTCTGGCTGGTTATAGGGTTCTGGCTCTAGGGTTCTGGCTCTAGGGTTCTGGCTCAGGGTTCTGGTTATAGGGTTCTGGCCCTAGGGTTCTGGTTATAGGGTTCTGGCTCTAGGGTTCTGACTCTAGGGTTCTGGCCATTGGTTCTGGCTCTAGGGTTCTGGCTCTTGAGGTTCCACCCATGACCTTGCCCAGTAAATATATGACCTTGCCCGCTAAATATACGACCTCCAAGGTCCTTCTGTCCAGAGAATGACCCTGCCCACTAAATATATGACCTTGCCCGCTACATATATGACCTTGCCCGCTAAATATATGACCTTCGCCCGCTGGGCCATTAACATTTAAATGACTATATGAAGGAGGGGTTGAGGGTTTAGTGTTTTAGGGTTTAGGGTTTAGGGGTTGGGGTTCAGGGTTCAGGGTTTAGGGTTTAGGTTTTAGGGTTTAGGGTTTGGGGTTTGAGTTTTAGGGTTTCGGGATTCGGTTCTATAGGGATTACCCAGACCCACTAAAGGATCCAAAAAATGGAACTCCCCCCTGAATTCCCACAAATCCGAACTTGACGGTGACCATTGAGGAAACCAGAAAATTATTAGGGGGTTCCATTTTTTGGATCCTTTAGGGGGTCTGGGTATAGAGGGTTTAGACAGGAAATTGTGTTTGGGGCATTTTACGGTTTCTTTCTACAGGGATCATGAAGGGCTTATGCAAGGAATGGGGTGTTGGGTCTAGAGTTTGGGGCGTTGGGTGTAGGGTGCGGGTTTTGGGTCCAGGGCTTCTTTGTGATAACATCTTCTATCCCCGTTAAGCACCCCCTTTCCTGCGTTGGGTCTAGGCTTTGAGGTATAGTTTGGCGAGGCGCGTGCATAGATCGCCTAGATCAGACCCCTAAACCCTAAACCTATAGCTGCAAAAAAATCACCTGACTGAGGCACAAATCGAAGAGCAGCCCTCTGTAACGTTGCCAGCTGTGTTGCCTGGCCGCGACGGCTTAGGGTTCGGGATTTAGGTTTTAGGGTTTAAGGTTTAGGTGGTTTGGGGTTTAGGGTTCGGGGTTGAAGGTTCAGGGGCACTAAGGCTGCAGCATCATGCCTCTTCCTGCGCAGTACCAACGGCACGTGCAATATTGATAAACTGCTTTAGATGGAAACCCTGAGCAACATTGGAGCATACATCCCCTGATCAGCCTACCTTGCAAATTTGGGTTCAGGCCAGGTTTTAGGGTATTCGGAAAGTAACCAGGTATTTTGAAGCAGACTAGCAGGGATTCAAAAGAATTGTCAAAGGGGAATTTGGCAGGTTGTTCAGGCACTGTGATGCTGTTGAAGTCTCGCACCAAAGGGCGTTAACGCATGGCTAAAAATGAGATGTAGGGTACAAAATTTGAGGTACGCATCTGGAATCATCTTTGCGCACAAAAATAATACACAACAAGCAACCCCTGAGCCCTAAACCACTATATTGCAAAACCCAAACCCAAGAAGCCTGCACCTTGCGCTCAAACTCCCGAGCACTACACCCTATACACCCTGAACCCTGACCGTAAACCCTAAACACTGAAAACCACTAAACCCAAACCAAAAAAATCTAACCCCACACCCCGCAAAACTAAAAACCCTAAAACCTCATCCCTAAACCTTATAATGCCCCTATATGAGCCCTACGAACTTCCCTTTTAAGGGAACCCTAATTTCCAATACATATCTATATACCTCTAAATAAACCCTGTAAACCCTTTTAAGGGAACCCCTACTTTCGTGTTAAGATTGCCGGGGCGACCTCGAGGGACCTTCCACGAGCTTCCACTCCAACAGGCTCCACTGTACCGGGCTCCGGCACCTTTGGGTTAGGCTTCTGGTTCAGGGTTATGGCTTTAAGGTTGAGGGTTTAGGGTTAAGGGTAGGGGTCTACGGTTCTGGGCGGTTTATAAGGGAATATGCAGGTTATAGGGGCTAAATTTGGGGTTTGTGGTAGGCCGGTAGCCACCTTTCAAACTATAAGGGTCTATACGGATACTACAGGGATATTAAATGGATAACATATGGAGCAGATTATATGTGTATATATGTATATATTAAAGGGGGATAGGGCCCCAAATGGATCCCAACAGTGAATGGACAGTGGATTATGTAGTTTTTGGGCGAGAATTACCAACTGGGCAAATGGTAGTAATTCATAATCCCCAGAGGAAGCCATGCTGGGTATACTCATTATACGCGCTACTGCTACAGCTGGGAGTGAGCTTGCGATAGTTTGCCCAGCGATGGTTTGTTATGCATGAGCCTAGATACGTTAAATGGTCTTTTAAACTACATACGTAATAACTACTACTGAACCTGACCGTATTTACGGTAGTTACCATCACCGCCACTGCTGCTGCTTCTTCTTCTGAAGTAAGGTTATAGAAGGATGGCATTCGTGGGTTGAAGGGGTGTTCGGCAGATCGATCACTGCAACGGCGAACGATCCATTTGCTTACCGTGCATAGTATTGTTGGTTTTTGACAAAAGCATGTTCAACATACGTGCCGGGTGCTGTTGGTGTTCGTGATCATCTTCAATGTTGAAGCATCCTTGACGTAGTCATCATCACAAATGGCATAAGCATGACAATCATCATCACCACCATCATAAACAACAACATCGTTACCGCCACCATCATCGCCATCATCATCACCATCATCATCATCATCACCATCATCACCATCATCATCGCCATCATCATCGCCATCATCATCGCCATCATCATCGCAATCTTCACAGTTCCATCATCAACACACCATCGATGGTATCATCATCACATCAACATCAACCATTCCATGGCGTCATCAATCGTCATTGCACGGCGCCACCAGCAACACCAGTGGCTGCATCGGCAACAGAAACAGCAGGAACTGTATTGTATGTAAACCACAGCAATGCCAGTGCACATCTCAATGAACGTTGCCGAAGGTTCTGACTGACGACTCCTCTTTCCGTTATTTCCACTACTGCTGCGATTGTGAAGGCCCACTGCCCAGAGTAACAAGGATATCCAAATCAGGATGGAAGGAAACATCAAAATTATGCTGACGATAGCAATCTGCAGAGCATTACTCATCCCGAGACTGGAGTTCCAATCAGGAAGCACCCCCCAGCGCGCGTCCACAGAAAACGCATCTCCCATACAGGCTGGTATCAGAGTGGGGAAGGAGGACAAATATCATATAGGGATTATATCCGCTTATTCCCTACTAAGAACCAGTAGGTCATGGCAGGGAGGCTATCATTGAACAACGTGGAACTGACACCGAAGGTACCAGGCCCCTCACACACGGTCACAAGCATAACCAAAATCCTGCATGACCTTACTATACTAGAGTACCATAATTCCCAAGGTATTAGGTACTTGGGGTCATGCAGGACTTCTAGTATCCACCGTACTTCTCCACAGGGGGCTGTTGCTCGCAGTAGCACACAGCATACATACCTGCTCCAGGAAAGACTCTTAGGGCCCTCACTAGAGGAGTTGGGGTCCCAAAATCCTCTTACAGAGACCTAATGTCTCTATACCCCCCTAAAGGGGACCTGATATCCCTATAACACCCCATCAGAGATTGTTGACATGAAGGCGTACAATTCAGGCTGGGTCAGGCTTTGGGCTGTCGGGCACGTCTTGCAGGGCTTCTTACAGCAGTTTTTGGGTTTCGGGCTTAGGGATAACAAGCTGGGCTCATCCGACTCCCGGGAATTCATCGTGTAGGGTGTGGGGCTTACCTGGGAAACCTGGTGGCCTTTGAAAAGTAGCAACTTGCCACTGTTGCATGTTTCTGCTGGTGAAATAGGCAACTTCAAAACCCGGGATTAGCCAAGATACAGATTGTGTATTAAGAACCTTGTACCGCTGTTAGACACTTGAATTCTTCCATTCAAAGCAACAGCCTGCCAATTGCCTATTGAAGATGGGGTCAAGAACTCGCTGTTCCTCTCCGTGCTGCAATGCCAAAGTCTCAGATGGCATTTCTTTTGCAGCAGCAACATGCTGCAAGCATCCCGCAGAAGCTACACCCCTTGTAAGGTCGCCTCCTCGATCGTTGCCGGCTATGGAAGCAAAGGACTTCATTTCTGGGGCATTTCGGGCTTGCATCATCCTACGATATGGGCTTACCAATAGCCAGCCAGCGATAGCAAATACTTCTTCAAAGTACGCTCGCTGATTTTTCTGATGGAAACTGAAGTTGAGAAACGGGCGATTCGCCCGACAAAGTCTTCGTCGACTTGCGTCGACTCTATGATAGGATTTAGGCAAGGGCATTTGGCACGGTGACTCTGCTCCAACTTAAACACAATCTCCCCAAACAAATGATATTTGGGTTGGTACTTCCAGCGCGTTGAGTTCAGGACTAGGAATGCGTGGTCTGCACAAAACCTGAAGCCATCCAAGAAAGCTCGGCCAGTTGCAATTGCAGACGCACATTCTTCAGGGCTCAACCAAACATCAGCATGATACAGTCCGCTGAGAAACTTGTTCATACTTGAGATCGTTTCCAGGATCTTCAGGAAGTACTTTCGAAATTCTCGATCACAAGTAGGCATGAGGCTGGAGAGCTTCTGTTCCAAGAAAAGGCTGATGATAGTTGTGTCAGCTCCTTTGAACCAGCACCTGATCTCACAACATAGGGTTTACATAGGGTTCATAGGTTTAGGGTTTAGGATTTTCCCCCCACCCACAAAAATTGATAAAACATCTCATGTCTTTATCAAGAATCCCTGTGGGGTATTCCGCAGCAGAACTGAACCCGACCGAGGCCCGCGTAAGCTTCAGCATGTGCAGAGACAACTGCTTCGTTTTGCAAAATTCCACCACCTCGCTGTAGATAATATCGAGCTTGGCCTGAAACACGCCATGGGGGTAGTAGCCGAAATCAATGAGAGTCACCTTGATTTTGTCTGTATGCCATGATGCGATGTAGCACTTATAAGATCTTTAAAAGAAATCGTGCCATTTCTGAAAATGCATTTTGAGCAGCTATCGCATTTGCACATGCGTCGGCTGCCACACCCTTGTGGCAAGTGTGGAAAACATCTGGTCGAAAGAACTCTGCAGCTTTGGACAAGTTCATCGGGATGTGTTCAACAAAGGGGGGCGGATCCTTCCATGGGGGATCGGGATCATCATGGGCCTTCACCATGGAGTCATAATCCACTTTGTGCCAAGGATGGGATTCGGTTCCAGCCATGCATAAATGGCAGATCCCAATTCCATATGGTTTGGTTGGGGCATCCCTTGTGTAGCTGCGTGTTAGCGTGCCAACCTTGGCAAGCCCTCCCCAGTCTCCCTTGATCCCCATCACAACCGGGAACAATTTCTGATGTTCGCCTGATGGCAGCTTGACATCAATACCGGAATGAAACAAAGATCGAAACTCCATAGCAAGATGGCGGGTCAGCTCCAGTAGCGGTTTGTTCTTGTGCTTGCCACCATAGGCTACAGCCAGTATGCAGCTGTATAAAAACCTGGTCATCACACTTGGGCCTATGTAGTTGACATCGTTGCTTTCCCGAGAGGAGCCATATCCTAACAACGGCTGCCACTGAATAATCATGAGACCCTTCTTCTTAACACTGGTGCCCTCGTCGCAGTGGATGAAGATAGGTATGCACGAATCAAGCCTCTCGGAGTGGGCCCGAAAAACCACATGGTGAGGATCCAGTTTCCTGTAGGTTTCCCAAAACTGTTTGAAGTGTTTGGGTCCGTGTTCCGTCAGCAATATGTTCATTTTGCCTTCCCTTGAGAGGCAGCTGATAAATTCTGAAACTGACAGCACAGGGTGCAACTTCTCTAGGCCAATATCCTTGTAAGCAAGTTGAGCAGGAACTTGTAGACCACAATCCGTAAACAAGTCTGTCAAAGAATTCTCATGCCCAGTGCGCCGTAGCCGGGAAGCTTCTTGTAGGAAGTGTGCACTGGGTAAAGATGATGCCCCATCTAGACCAGAAAATTCAGCCCAGAATGCATCTGCAAGGGCACAAGCCTCTTTCTCGCTAACCTTGGGGTTTGTTAAGGGCAGCATCACTTATATTACAACAATTTATCTATATAGGGTTCGTAGAACATCCCATAAACCCAGACAAGAAGAATTCCAACACCAACTGCCGAAATCCTGAACCCAGTCACTCCCTTTGCAACAGCCCGAGCCACTTCTTGAGCAGCAGGACCAAACGTGGATTTGGATCTCGCTGATGGACCTTTACCATGACCTGTCAGAAGCCAAGCGCTACAGAGGTGTAAAGTGCATGTGTAGCTCACGTGGAACATAACAGCATCCAAATTAGATTTTCCCGTGTGCGTCAAAGGTCCTGTCATGGTGCATGCATGTTGGCAGCCATAGGTACCCCAACGACATGCCTTAATTTGCCCTGCCCTATAGCTTGCACAAAGTTTTGTGGGTATAGGCTATTGTGGAATCTTCAAATACTATAGGGCTGGACTTCTGCATGTCAACAGAAAGCCCGGAAAGAAAGCAAGGATAGAAGATTTGACAGCTGATAAGATAGATTTTGGGATAATCCAACCTTGCGGAATCAACCTTGCGTAGCGAGGAGTGAAAACAGCTCAACTACTTCTTGGCCTTCTTGGACCCCTTAGGGGCCGTAGAATCCTTCTTGCTCCCCGACTTGGGGTGGCCAGCGCTCTTCTCAGGCTTCGCCGAACCATCGTTGCCGCCAGACGACTGTCGCTTCAGCACAGTCCTCAGCAGCAGAGATTTGAGGATTCCGGGTTTACCAAATGGGGTGTTGGGAACATGTAATGAATTAGAACCCCAGTATAAATCCTAAAAACTCCGTATATCGTTGGCAAGAATCCGCTTCAGCTTCGTATCCTCCATCACGGCACGCGCACACCTGAGATTCCACAGAAACACTATACAATTAATTAACTTGTGGCATTGATTACTCTTCAATGTAGGTCCCTGCCTGGTTTCCACCTGGTGCACACACTCCTGGATCTTCTTTAGCTTCCTGGCGTCGCATGTAGTCATCACTCAGAGCAAGTCACTTCAACAGCACATAACAGACTACCTTGCGCATGGCTTGAAACACCTTTGCAGCCTAGTGTCTCCTGAGGTGGCTCCGTACGACATCCATCGATATCCGCCTTGAGGTCGGCCAGCTGATCATGGAGGGACATAATGCTGTTGAGGTGGTTGTCCATTGTCTTCACATGCCTAAGATGTATGCAGGGTCATAAGGTTGTAGAAGAAAACGAGCCACCGAAACATGGAGAAGATTATTACAAAGGCCCCAATAGAGTTTATAGCAAGCTACGCACTCGCACCCTTGCAAGCATTCAACTTGTCAAGCGTGGTCTGCAATTTGCTTTGCGTCCGCAGGGTGTTGGCAATCACCTCGCCCAGGTTCTCGGCAGCCTACAATGGAAACACTGGGACAAGGCAAGAGTGTGGGAATATCAGTGCAATCACAAGCATTCACATGGTTAGATATGGGAAGCCTCCAAAGCCACTTCACGCTGTAGCGAACCACCTTTGCCCTTGCCCTTCTTCTTCCGCGATGAACCATCCTCATCTCCAGCATCATCATCATCATCATCATCAGGACCCATGCCCTGGTCAGACATGGAATCCTCCAAGCCCTGCATGTCCATGCCCCCAAAATCGAAGTCATCCGCTGCCTCACCTTCAATATAGGTGTTCTCATTGATTCCTTCAGCCGTTTCCTTTTCTCGCACACCAGTAGTCTGGACGTCTACCCAGAAGAGCATAATCTTCGGCTGATACTTGTCACGCCTCAAACATGGCCACCAAAGATTCAACACGCATCGTGGCTGTAAACCCTCCACTACCTACTTATCTCTATATACCTTTGTCCGCTTCTGACATCCTGTCACTCTGCCTCTGTCTCCCTGTCCCTCTCCCCCTATAAGTTCTCTTTTTCTGGCGCCCTCAACCTCTCCTCTCCTTACATTCCCTGGCTTGCTGACTTGTTCTTCCCCCTTTCCCTCATACCTGATGCTAAAGGCCCCTAGCTTTGGTTTCGTATTGCTTCTGCTTGCCAACCCCAATATATACCCTGTAAACTTTCTATAAACCCTAAAACCCATATATATACCCTAAACTATATACCCTTATACACCCTATAAGCCCTATATAGCCGATAACCCTATACATTGTTTCCTTGTATCATCCCAGTGGCCGCGTGTGAGTCTTGACACGGGAGGGGTGCATGCAGTAGGCCACAGCGCCAGCGATCCTGTCCCTGGGCAGCTTTGGAGAGGCAATGGCATGACTTCAAAATCCCTAGCATGAAGGTTGTGACTGTAGAATTAGGCAGCCGAGGGTCTTATCCCAAAGAAGGGTTTCCTTCATTTGCTTCTTGCTGTAGAATCCAGACGTAATCGTAATCTTGTTGCGGCGCTGGCTTGTGCGCCAATGCTCGACCTTCTTCAAGAACTCAGCCTGCCGTAGGAAATATAAGCATAGAAGTAGATGGGCATGCATTTAGTTTATGATAGCCCCCCTGCCTTCTTGCCCTCGCAAGAAGCAAGCATTTTGGTAAGAAGCTTGCGCTGCTCACCACCTGCTTTCCACTGCTTGTAGATGTCCGGGTTCACATCCAATCGTCCAGTTCGTGGCTTTGGGGTGCAGATTCGCTTCAGGGCTTGGGCAAGCTTCGCATCAAGCCGGTACTGCATGAGCTTTGCCGCCTTTACCTGCAAGTGCAAAGATACATGGAGTTGCGTGGTGTTTGGGGACCCTATATATACTTGCTGTCAAGAATCCGAAGCATCATCCGCAGCATCGCCCTCGCAGTCATCATCTTCCTCATCTTCTTCACTCTGGTCCGCGATTTCTTCCTGGGGCACATGTTACGCTTTGGGAGAGAATTCTACATTAGAAGGTTACAACAAGGATTGTGTATTCGAGTAGCTTCATCCTCGGGATCAACCTTGTCCGTCGTGGAGTGTTGAGGCTTGTCCTGCTGTATAGAGCCATAATAGAAGAAACGACACATGGTATTGCTGTTGACAGTCTGGTGCCCTGTCCTCACGAACCTTCTTGACTGTGGGGGATTCTGCGTTTGGCGCATCCGAGGGTGTGCCCTTGACCGTATAGTTGGGGGGCGGAGTCTTGGCACTCTCTGGCAGTGCCACCAAACCTTGATCAGGCACCGGCTTGGCTACTGCAGCTTCGAGCTCAGCAAGGCGTCGCTTTGCTTCCTTTGCAGAGTCAAATGAGCCATCTGAATTTGACTGAGTATGAAAACTAGCATGCACTTCTAGTACATGTAGGGCACAGCAATAGCGAGTGCACCAGCCGAGGTTGGCGGTGGGCTGGAAGCATCCTTTGTGTTTTGCTTGTCCACATAGGAAACTCCCCGCATGAGCGTTTGGCAGCTCAATGTGCGAGATTCAGCCTTTGAAATCAACTCTTTGGCAGGCATAGCTGGACCTCTATGCGCTGCTACGAAGGCACGGATCCTTGTGAAAAGCTGCAGCCCATGAAGACGAGCTGTCATGCATGCATGTCATGATGCCGCATGGGCAACTGGCTTGCATGCTCAGAGCTTTCAGAAAGAATTCAGAAGGGTATAATACATACCATAACCCATTATTATAAGATATAGAAATCCTGAATCATAATTCATCCTATGATTTAAAGGAGGCTTTGGAATCCCGAAAGTCAAAGCTTCGAAAAATAAGCAGCAACCCTAGAATCCCGAGAGTCAACCCTGCAAATCCCGAAAAAAAGCCCATGGAACCCCAAAGTAGACTTAAAATCCCGAACAGAGCCCTCCAAACCCCGAAAAAACCCTTCCAATCCCGAAAAGCAACCCCAAAACCCCGAAAGCCCACAACATAGACTCAAAAACTGCAGCAAAATCGAGACAAGCAGCGTCAAGGAAAGTTGCCTATTTTAGGCATAGGATTCGAATGCTTTTACAAGGCCACTTTACGCTTTTAATAGGCAACTTTACGGCCATAAGCGCCACAGTGATAACTTTTCAGGTTTTGCCCCAAAGCTCACCAACACGTGAAATCTCCAAAGCATTTCATGCTTTTACACGAAGATTTCTTTGTGCATAATCTGCCGAATTACCTCTTTCCACTCAAGTGGCAGGCACAGGTGAACACTGGCATATAAGTAATGCAGCATTGGCATGACCTCTGCATCATCCCAGAGATCGTGAAAGTCTGCCTCCAGCATGAAGCGGCGAACCATATCTTCCCTGGTAGCCTTGCAATGATCTACACTGGATGCACTTGAAATCCTATGTCCAACATGGTTATACATTGCAAGAAAGAAGCTGTTGCTTTCCGAGCATCAGTGATCAAACCATCGGGCGGTGTTTTCCCGGCAATCATGTCAGGAACTGCTGCAGCGAAGCGGGCAGCATACATCAATGGATACACCCTCAGTTGCTTGAAGCGTTGACTCTGGTAATTACCAATATGATGCCCCTGCAAGAAGCATGCTAACATTGAGAAGCCCACTGACTTTTCTTCAAGTCTGCGGTCCCTTGGTACCGCTTCTTGCCGGATGAATCTTTGTAAACCTTTGCTAGCTTCGGGGCAGCCTTCTTGTCGAGTTTTTTGGCTGCCGCCAGCTTCTTGGCTGAGGTCTGGAACTTCTTGATGCCGCGCGTGTTGGCAAAGAGTTTTGTCCGCTTCAAGGTCGGACTTCCCCAACACTTCATCCAAAAGCATATGGACCAGACCTGACAGACATGGGAATGGTTTGCTTGCGATATAGGGACTCCAGGCATGCGTCACTTGGTGGCTTTACGCTAGCAGGCAAGGGTCTACTGTGTTGCGCTTCAAAAATTCAAAACGCGGGTGCCGCATCACGAGGCTTGAAGATGGCTGCTCCAGCACCCAAACCGAATCCATCGATTGCATTAGAATTAATGCCAGCGCCACCCTGCGCGAACAAAGAAAATCCAATAATGCATGCAGCAGTCAGGCATGCTATCATTGTATACTGCACATGTTGGAAAGCATAAAAGTCTCTGCCTCGACGCAAGAGTATTCCCGGTGGTAGCAGAGCAGGAACGTGGATCACCCAGCGGTGTCCAGTAGCCTCTACCTGTTGAGCCACGGGAGATGCTCACAAATGAGCTGCAAACTAGGCCAAAAGCTCCTATCAGCATCCCAAATCGCCCTCGTAGGATTGTGGTTAGCAAAAGCCTCAGCATGTAGCAGGCCGCGTCAGAACGGATATAGGCTTCAGGAGAACACTGGCTTGAATCATATTTGCAAAAAGCCGAGATGCGCAAATCCACCAACAGTCAATAAGTCTAGAGGGTTTCGGCAGCGCTTGTGAGCCCCACCCCGCTTAGCAGCATAAGGCGGCCAATGCTCTATATCCAGGGTCGCTGTGCGAAGCCCAAGCATTCGCAAGCATGTACTCAAGCGGGCTTCCCCAGCAAAGACATCCACAGCATCATAGGCCTCATGTGGAAACTACGGTGTTCAACCAACTTGTGATGTCAGGTCTACAGCTGCAGTGGCTTCCAAACGAGCCTGGGAAAAATTGATGCTGCTCTGGTACCAGAGCAGAATCACGGCCAACATCAGAACCTTGGCTGATCAACTGTATTCCGGTTGCTGCACTGGGGTCTGTAGTGGCACACAACATGTAAGAGACCATGTGTTGCAAGGCTGTATTCAGTCCAGAAACTCCAGGGGCACGCATGTTCAACAAATTGTCGAGAATCACGTGAAGCTTCAGTTCTGCTTCCATAGCTGCGCTAGAGCTGTGGTACGCTACCAAATCACTGAGGCTGAGAAGGGCTAAAGGGTCATGGGGCGACATGACACGATTGTTCCAAGGCTGCATGGGACTGTCCACGAAACCCCACACAGACTGCAGAAGCAGAAGCTGCGCCTGTCTGTTTGTGCTTCACCCCGAGGAAGCCAGTGCGACGAAGCTTCATGCAGCGACTCATCAGAGACCTGGCAAACTACGTGGACTCTGTAGCTGAATTTGTTACTGAGTGATTTCCGCTACATTCAGGATATGCTCACAGCCGTGACACAAGTTGAGAGCATGAGCATTTGTCTGCATGTCTGCGGTTCGCTGCGAACAAACACCCCGGAAGTTTGAGATGATTGTGAAACCATTTCAGGAGTGCAGATGCACTCAAGTCACTCAAGCAACGTAGGATAACAGCGCGAAGGCTAGCCCACACTTGCTGACTGTATGATGTCCCCTACCACATTCCGCCCATACGCAGTCTGTACATTCCAGCTCTACAATTTCTGAGCCCAAGAGTTTGGGGTCTAGGTCCAATGATAAGAATAGAACCCTCTACAACTGTGAATTCACAAAAGGATAAAGGCGGCATGTGCTCCACAAGCCCTGCTGGCTTCAGCACGAGCTGTGGACCCTGACAGTTATAAAGAAGAACCTCCTATAGGATCAAGTTGATCATGGGCCGTTCCAGCCATAGTCCAGCCAAGGCCGCTTGGCGAAGCCTCGGATGTGGGGAGGAGGTTGGGCTTAAGGGGCTGGGTTTCAAGGTTAGAGGGTTTCGATGGGTTTGAGATAACTCATTGTTGTACGCAAAAGGTTTATTGAGGAGAATACTTTATACAAGGCTGAGATTTGCAGAGGTCTTAAACATGGGAACCCTCAAAAAACTTCATATATCGCAGTGAGAGCTCCAACAAAGAAGAATATTTGACTGGTTACAGCTGACCCCTGTGCCTTGTGTAGTATCACCTCCTTTATTATTGTTACATTGCCTCAGACCGGGAACCATCCAGATTAGACACTATATGGGCCCAACAAAACATTCAAAGCAGGCAGCTGCTCACCGCAGCACCAATCTGGACAAACCCAAGCGAAATCTGCCTTGCACTCACTTGTTGGCAGCAAGGTATGCCTGTTGCTCCTCGCGTTCCTGCGCAGCATTCCTTCCTCGGAAAGAATCCTCCTTGCATGCCCTGCAACCTTTGAAAATGAAGCGGCATGAAATGCAACCCAGGGTTTGGTGGGGAAGCACAACGTATCGCCACTGCCTGCCGGCATAGATGCGATCTTGCTTTGGGGCCACATCACCCTCCACATCCGGCAGAGCTGCCTTGCTTGTGCGCTTGGATGCTGGGCTGCTGCCAGCGCTGCTGCCATCAGTCGCAGCTTTGCCTCTCTTGCCCTTTCCTGTTGCCTTGCCCTTTGCCTTGGGAGCTGCCTTGGATTTTGCTGTCGCCTTGGCCTTCGCCTTGGGGGCTGCTTTGGATTTTGCTTTGGCCTTGGCCGAGGCCTTGGCCTTCGAGCCCTTTGGTTTGCCCTTCCCCGTGCTGTCCTCTGCAGCACATGCGTCAACATGCTCGTGCTTGGTAGCAGTCAGGGAATCATCAACAGCAGGGGCTTTCTCAGCCTCCACTGCCCCGTTCGGATCTTCATCAGCATCGCATGCGTCTGAGCTGCGAGAGCGCAAAACCCGCAGCCTGCGAAGGGTCCTGGATTTGTTGGCCGCTCTGGCCTTGGGGCTCTTGTGGCTTTTCACTTTCTTGGTTTTGCCGCCTTTGCCCTTCTTGCTCATGCCCTCCTTTGCTTCCTTCTTAAGCGAACCACGCAAACCATGCTGAAGGCCGGGCGTGGCCTCAACAACTTCTTCGTATTTGTCCACGATGGGGGTGGCCTTGCAGCAAGGTGAGCCAAGGGGGAAATTTGATGACAGCAAAAGGCT